AGGTACTCATGTTTAATTCAGTTTCCTCACAATCAATACTTTATTTCACTATATAAGAATATTTTTGCATCAGTCATCTTCCAGATTAAAGGGGGCTCAGGGTTTTATGGTAATCCACATAATTGAGTGAATCAGTTTATTGGAGCACATCCCACTTTTCCTCAAATGCAGATCACACCTTTTAATGATCAAAAATCATGAATAGTGTTTAAGTGCCTCTCTTTTGTGATGTTGTGTACAATCAACCTTTTGTTGAATTTATCAGTTGCCCTGTAACTCAAATATAAATTGATCCTAAATGTTCTTTGGCTTTAAATTGTAAGACGTTCTTACAAAGTTGCCATAATAAGTTGGGTCGTCAAGCCCCACCCTTTGGCATTTTCGGGCAGGCCCAAACACGAGCCGCCCGGCCATTGATTCAGTTAACATTTCAACTACTGAAGTTAACCTTTAAGGTCCGTTACAGAGGATCATCCCATAACAAATACTATTGCCCCTTCCTCCCACACACCCCCCCACCACCCACACGTCTGCATGTCTAAAGTCAGCCCCCTCCCTGAGGCATCCCCAGCAACCACTGTAATTCAATATCAGGGTGTTAGCAGTGTGCTCTCAAGCGCATCAGCATATGGAAAGTAGGTCTTTACTTAAAGTAATCATGAGGCGTCAGTGCAGCCTTCTTGCGGGGATGGCGTTTTCATCACGCTCCGATGGCCGTCAAATGTTTAGACTACTGTGACAGCTTCACCCTGAGACCAGAGTGACCTGTGACCCCTGAGGAATGGACAAGGCTGCAAACAAAAACAGAAGCCTTTTGTGCGGGTCAAAGCAAAAACATCTGCTGGGCCGAGGACACAGAGAAAAGAGGGGGATTAACTCTCAGGCATTCATCATTTGGTCTTTTAGCTACCTCTGATGAGAGGTGGCTGATGGGAACACGCCAGAAGCCACTGTACATCACATGATTACGACGCAAATCCTCCTTATTTCACCCATTAATGCCCCAGCTGCCTCCTTGGCTCAGCGGCAAAAATTGATTAAAAGAAAATGCAGATAAATGCAATGTGAAGGGGAATTTCTTTGCTGCTTCGCCTCTTATCACATCACCACAGGAGCCACTGGTCACAGCCAGTCTCTCAATTTTAAATTAAATTTATCCTGAATAAATGATCTGAGACGATTGCACATCACAGGGCCTGTTGAGAAAATTCATTTGAACAATTCTGGCTTTGATATCATCATGCATTGTCATGATAAATGAGTGTCTGATTATTATTTTTTGAAACCCCACTGAAGCAGTACAGTATCATTTAAATTGGCTGATGGGATGCTGCCCACTCAGTAGCTGGAGCGAAGATAACAAAGAAAGCATTCCCCTCCTTTCTCCACTTAACACACGTGCACTTATTTAGCACCGTGTTGTTTATTTGTGTCTGTCCAGTCTGGTGGTCAGCTCAGGTATTTACCACTTCCCCTCTGCCCCCCCTCAGTAACAGAGAGCTCTTTCTTTTGGTCGGACCTCTGATATCATACACGGCTGTGATATGAGGAACCAAATCTTTCAGAGCTATAAGCCTCTCCGGAGTGACATGCTTTGACGTGCTTGTTGTGTCTGGTTTGTAAAAGAAGTTTTAACTATCAGGCTGGTGGGTGGTGTGAGAAATGGTGGTGAGAAAACCGAACATGGAAATTTGAGTATTTATCTCATCATTTGTAGCCAGGCTTAGCACAAAAATTGAAAACAAAAAGGTATAGTTATGACCAAATGAAGAAAAAAAACGGTTTGACACATATCGAGCATATATTTAAAAATTATTTTGAGTTTTTTGATTGGTTTTTAATTTCAATTATTATTATAAACTGATTTTTCTTGATCAAATGAAGTATTTCATGAGAGTAATCTTTATATGCTTAGTGAAAAAAACATTTCAGACATTCTATGTCAAATGTATTTACTTGTCGTACAGTTGTAGGTTTAACAATTCAGGAGCGTAGAGTGTGTGAGAAACTCAGTCCATTAAATATTGAATACAAATATCAGATCAAAAAAAATAAAGGCCATGAATATGTGAAATACATCACCCCCCGTCTTCCACCATGTTTTCAATTATCTCTGTTTTACTTGGTTCATTTACTTCTGAAATTGTGAAGATTATTTACATATCACAACATTCATGAGTCAATAGTGTTCAGCTGCTGTAGCAATATTTGCCCACTAAGGGGCAGCATGTTCCATGACAATTACTCTTGTGTGTATGTGCATTGATTATTGCATTGAGGCTTTTCTACTCTTTGGTACCATGTCAGCAGTCCAAAGAAACAGAGGGAAAAAATATGTATTGTTATATCTGTTGTATCTTATCTCAAATAACAAAGTTCTGATTACTGATGAGCTGCATGTAAACAAGCTTTACAGTTACCAGGCTGCAAGTAGTGATTTTAAAACCAGTTTCCTGCCTTAACCAAAATTAAGGTCAGTGTGTAAACATGGTTTGTTCACCTGTGTGTGTATATATAACAGAGTTGTCTATAGGAAGGCTTAGTTCATTGCTGTTTTAAAAAATTTTAAAACTGAATTTTTAGGCTTGACATTTGAAGCAGTAGTATTTAGCATTTTCAGCCAACACAGATGTTGTGTGGGTGGTTGTTTTATTCAAATTCCAGGAACAGCCTGAGCAGAAAGGAGTGGGGTGTAAATGTTTACTGACTTCAAGTTTCAATATAACAGAACTTAAGGACCTGATGAATTACATATTATGGTCATGTTAATACACTTAAATTGTGATTATTTGTATTTTATATTCTCCTTTTATGCTGGAATGTTCTCCAGCCATTCAATGAGACAGGCCTTTGTGAAATAGTTATATCAAGGACACAGTTCCTGCTCAAAACAGAGTGCCCAGACCAGGGCAAGCAAATCTGACAGGAAACCATCCCTGTAAACACTCTTCAGTTTGTTTTGTGTCCACCAGAACATTTTATATCTAAACAACACTAACACAATAGGGCTCTGTTCCCACAACACTTCAGCCATGAAGTGTTTAATCAGTGACGCCCAGAGCCCCCTCCAAAACCTTTTAAAACTGTGTAAGCTCAGCTGCAGCAGAAGATGCTGCACACCACAGCAGCCGAGGGTGTGTGGGAGTGGCTCAAACACAATTTACCTTCAATTTAACCTGAAAAATATCACTTAACCCCAGTGCATTAAACCAAAGCTACCTACATGGTTCAATATCACTTTGAGTATGCATGTAAATAATTTTGTAATATTTTAACATTTTAGGAAATGCACTTATTTGCTTTTTTGCTCAGCTTTAGATGGGTGGATTATATCGCTCTCATGATTTGTTTATCTTAGCATCAATCATTGGCAGCAGGGTGAAACAGCTCTTGGCTCTGTAAATGTAGTGATAACAAGTTGTGGTTTAGTCGTTTGATATTTCCGCAGCACTCAGTTCAACCATGAAATAACTTTTGTGTGTTCTTTTTTGTAGCTTTGTTGGATTACTGAGTTTGCCAGATCTTTTGTTTTAAACACTGTTATTTCATTATAGAGTAAACAAAACTATACAATAAGTTAGTCAGTGAACTTTATAGTATGAATCTGTTTGAAGATTCTGTTGCATTTTCTTTTCTATATTGTATACAACACTCAGGGAGACACGCTACGGATTTCAGTATACTGTGTTCGCCAGGTTGGCAACATCCCACGAATAGATCCAAAATACAAATATAGCTAATGAACAAAAAAAAACTCCCATACCCTTTTATAGATATGAAGATAAAAACAACCCACTTCAATCTCAATTAAATCAACAAGGTGACTGTTTATGTCTGGTATTTGTCTCTGATATCCTGCGTTTGTTGGAGCCTTTTATCTGGATCTCATCCTAAAAGTTGCTGCGTGTTTGGCCGTCAACAGTTCCTCTATGAATTACTGCTTCCTGTAAAGATGAGGCCTGGCACGTCAACGACGCCTGGCAGGAAAAAGTTGTGACTGTAACTGTCAAACTATTTCAATTTATTTTGTGTGTGTGTGTGTGTCCTATGAGACAGAGGGCAACTTACCTACGTCAGCATGTTGGACTGAGACTTGCAGCATCAAAGGGCCACTGGATGAGAACGTCAGGAGAACAAAATGGGCCATTGTCCTCCTGGCCCGCTGTGCACAGGAAAACACTGTCCATGATCCTATAAAAAATGTTTTTGGCACGTTTATGGAGAAGTTACGCGCAGCTCTTCCAGTGGGCTCTTCATGGCCAGTGGGCACAAAAGGAAAAGGAAGGTGTAAATGTCTTGTGATCAATTACAAAAAAATGGCTGACTTTTCTATTTCGCAACCGTGTTTTAAAGTTTCATAAAACAGTTTTATGGTGAGGAAATAATACAAATCCAAATGGTTTTAATTTTTGCTTTTACTAGGCTCATGACATTTCTAATACAAATACCGAAATGTCTGTTATTTCAAACACAAACTCTGCCTCAGTACTGAGGACTGACTGGGACAAAGAGCAAGTTCCCATAAATCTTAAGGTGTAGAAATGTTCAATGTAAAGTTTGGGGTAGTTTGAGGTAAAGTAGTGGGTATACTTACTGTTACATTAAGTTACTCTAATGTAATGAAAACACTACTGAGCATGTGTATGTGAGAGACAAAGAGAAAGAGAGAAAACATTGGTTTACACTGTGCTCCAGCGAGAGTGTGTGGGTGTGTGTGTGGGTGTGGAGGGGACAACTGATGAGGGAGGAGACTGACGGTCAACTTGTGTGAGGCAAGAAGAGTTTATAAATCCTTACCCATGTTTACACATTCACAATCTGATCAATTCTCATGCTGCCAACACTGCAGAGAGGAAAGGTGTAGTTCATTAAGAGTGCTGAAGAGGAACATCCTCAGATATAGGGATGGACCTTATTTAAACTTTGCTGGCTGCTCATTGTTATCCTCAAGTCTCGGACTTTACTAGACTACTTCTTCATCACCCTCCTGTGACTTTCAGCAACCATGTACAGCAGCGGCTACTCCCAGGTCTCCAAGCCCAGGCCAGGGGCCCAAAAGAGGATGCAGTACCGCTCGAAGGGCAAGGGCTGTGGCTACTACATGCGCATTGTCTTCTTCTTCTCTTCGCTCATTCAGTCCCTGATCATAGTCAGCCTTGTGCTCTTTCTGGTCTACGGTAAGAAGCAGGACTCAGCGTCCTCAGACCGCATTCAGGACCTGGAGGAGAGCTTCAGCCGACTCTCCATAGAGAACGTCGCCCTCAGGCATCAGAGGAGGAACCTGACCAACTTACTGAACACCACCCTGACTCTCAAGGCCCGCAACGACTGGGACCTGGAAAAGTTCCGCCATTACAGCAACATCTCATCGCTCATCATCCAAGAGTATGACAAGAAACTGGTGAGAAAGCTTTTTTCATTATAATATCTATTATACAAGTTCCTGTATTCTGTAATTGTATTCCCTTTATCATTATTCAACCACCATAGAAATTCAGATATGATAAAAAGGGTGTCAGCCTGGTTTACTAATTGTTATTTACTTTCAAATACATCTTTGATTATATTTGATATGAGTTAAAAAACCACTCTTGTGTAGAAACTCACAAATTTGTAAGACAAAACGTTGGTAAAAGAAACAGAACTTAGACAAAAGATTAATTGTTCAGCCTGTTTGTTTACATTTCACAACTGGTCTAGAACAAATTACTAAAACACTAATGACTTTTCTTTATTAAAACGAACAGCAACAGTGCAAACGCGACTGGTTCTTTTGCACCAACTCTCCATGTATTTCTTGTGACTGCTCATCAAGAAGTAAGTGCAATATTTCAAACCCAAAAATATTAAAACTAATTAAAACCTCCTTTAGTTTTTTAATACAGCTTTTTTTTTTTATCTGTTACAGCTAACTGTGACTGTGGCCTGCTGGCTGAGCGTCTGAAAACTCAGCTTGAGTTTGTGCAGTCCAACTTCACCCAAACGGTAAAGAGGATGAGGATAGAAATGGAACAGATTGCCAAAGAGAGGGACTACATTAACCTGGAGGCCATCCGTCTGAGGAGGGAAAAATCCACACAAGAAAAAGAGTTGCAGTTCAACAAACAAAGATGTAAAGATGACTTCTTCCAGTCCTTGAGCGGCGTCTCCAACGTCTCCAAGGCATTCCTCTCGAAGATTGAATCCCTCTTCCCCACACACCTTGCCTTCCAGCTCACCTGCTCGAAACAGAGGGAATACCTGGAGCAGATCCACACCAACTGCACCAGCCTGTCCAGAGAAGTGGAGGACAAGTTTCAGCGTTACCTGAACAGTGTGGGAGACCAGGTGTCGGACATCCATGGCGAGAACAGCCGCCTGAAGGCAGAGAACTGGCGCCTGTCTGATGACTACCGCCGTTGCACCCAGAACCGCACGGGCCTGATCCAGGAGCACAAACAGAGGTTAGACAGGCTTCAGCAGAAACACGATCAGGACAAGGAGAAACTCCTGGTTGATAAGATGAAGTTAAATGGAGACATAGATGTCCTGGTAAACAATGTCAAGTTTAAAATTAAGGAAGTGGATCACCTCACACTGCAAATCAGACATCTCAACCAGTCCTGCATGTCTAAGGTAAGAAAACAAAACAGCCATGACAATTGACATGAACATGTTTAAGCTCTTCAGGGAGTAAGTAGCAATATTCAAATTTTCACTAACAACAAGCTTTAGATTGCTGCAGCAGATATTGCATGCAATGAAAGTAATGCTGATGGAAATTCTCTAATTCCACACCCTGTTAAATTTAATGATCTGCTTACATTTGGGGTGAAATCTTTTCATTTTGCATGCAAAGTTTAGCTTGCAGTGTCAAAATGTGCTTGTATAACACCTAGAAATAAGTTAATACAAACAATGGCCAAATCAAAGTTATGCTTTCAAGATCACACATAACAGATCAAAACAGCCTTATTGGAAATGATCCAGATACCAGTGCAGAGGAGGAGGTGGAGGAGGGAGCACGTAAAACTGACATTAAAACTTACTATAGTAATTTATGTGTCAATTCAGGTTGCATAGTGTGATGTTATGTCCATGGATTTTTTTTGTTTTACCCATATTAACATTCCTTTAATTTGATTTCAGACCGGGTCTGGTGGATTTGCCAGTGGGTCTCGGACAAGCACGTCAAGTCAGCCTGGGTGGGGTGCGTTTGGTGTTGGGGGATCCAGCTCCTCATCATCCAGCTCTGCTAGTGGGGGTCACCTTGGTAGGACAGGGTCAGGTGGGTTGGGTTCAAGCCTTGGCTCTTCCGGATCATTGTTCAATAAGCCAGGATCAACTGGGACCGGCTCCTCAAGCTCATCTTTCTTGTCACCTGGGTCAAGTTCAAGCCTTGGCTCCACTGGA